TCTCGATACATATCTTCAATCGCTTTTGCAAGTCAATCACAATAATCGTCATCGAATCCCTCCTCCATATCTTCACGTGAGCTTTTCTCTTTTTCACGTTTCCTATCAAATCTCATAAACTCCTTCCTCCTAAACTCACCATCACCGACCCTTTTCAAGGCGGAAAAATACAAAGGTCCCCAACCATCACACCTATCCGGCAACACAATCCACCCCTTCTCCGTTCTCTCACCGATCTCCCAATGAAAATTGTGTCCGACCTCCTCCAGAGGTACCCAACTATTTTCCAATATCTTCTTCACAACTTCGTCATTTTCAAGCTTACTGATCGAACATGTAACATAAACCAAGGTACCCCCGATGTGTAATCCTTTGACGCTATCCAATAGTATTCTATATTGTTTCCTGGCATTATTTTTTGTTCTTGACACTTTCCATTTGGATAATTCCGTGGGATCATTCAGCAAATGTCTTTCCGAGGAACATGGCGCATCCACAAGAATTTTATCGTAGGTCGACATCGAGAACGATTTAAATTCGGAAATGACCTTCACCTTATGCCGGTAAGATGATGGGACATAATTCGCGATCACCTGTTTAAGTCGATGACGTCGACTCGGCGAGAGTTCGTTCGACGTAAGGTAACCGGTGCCAAACGCGCACTCATCTCTGCCTTCACCTATGCCATCTGCACCTGTTGGATCAATATGCTCAGCGCGCGTTCGTAGCTTTGAATTCAGCAATAAATATTGTAAAATTGCCAGAGACTTTCCACCCGGCGCGGCACACAAATCGAGTATGTTATCTGTGGATTTTACGTCCAATGCTTTAATGACCATAACCGATGCGGCATCCAAGAGATAATATGCCATTATTCCGTTCTCGTCCCTGAACGGAGGGGGGAATCTTTCCGAACTAGAATAACATAGTATGTCGATAAACTCTATTTTTTCGAGATGCACTTCTTTCTTGGGATCTTTGAAATTTTGGGGTGAGGCTTGTGTTGCGGAATTTAGAAACCTCTCGATGCTTTCAAGGCTTGCAAAGTTATTTATCATCGCAACACATTTAGTGGGTTTACACATTGCTTCAAACAAGGATTTCCACCGTTCTCTGCCATACTGCTGAGAATAAAATTCTGAAAATGAGTTTAAGACTGTTTCTTTGTGTAAAGATTCTTTTAGTAATTCCTTCCTCTTATTCTTTGAAAGTGATTTGTTTTCGGCAGTCGGACTCTTTAAGAAGGGGAAGTCGACACATGGATCATGCGTATCGACGCGTGAGACACTGGATTTTTCGTGATGAAAAGGATCTTGGATGTCATTGAGCTTCCTTGCTTCCACGGTAAA